TTAAATATTGATGCAATATTTAAATGCAGCCATCAATTTTGTGTTCTTCTGTGGTTTATTGTAGCCTATTTCTACCTATTCTGATGAAGGTCTAATCAAGAGACCTCCACAGGAGCTAGCTTAAATGCTACCCAATAGGGCAGCTTTTAAACTACATACACATACACACACACATATACACACACACACACACACACACACACACACACACACACACATATATATATATTTATATATAAATAAAGACAATGAGAAAACGTTTCGTCCTCAAAACAAATGGAAAGGATTTTATATTTTGAAAGAATATATATATATATATATATATATATATATGTGTGTGTGTGTGTGTGTGTGTGTGTGTGTGTGTGTGTGTGTGAAAAATATAGAAAAAATAGGACATATGAGTGTTGGAATCATATTTTAAATGTTGAATATATATTTTAAATATATATATATATATATATATATATATAAAAGTGAACATAGAAGTCAACACTTAGAGGCGACAGTCTGTTTCATGCTATATGCAATCGTCAGGCCACATATGCTGTTATTTTTCTCGGCTATTTATATATATGTACGGGTTAGTGGTGCATTGTGGGTATACTATTATGACGGTTATTTTACCGGAAGTAGTTTGTTTATTTATTTGGGTCTAGTTATATTGCTCGATTTTATTTTTGTTTCTTATTTTATTTATTTATTTATTAACGTAGTAAAAATTTGTTTATATCACTTATTTAACAGTTTTGTTTTGGTTTGAGAATTTAATTAAAGCTATTTGTTCAGTTTTGGGGTTGGTTGTTGTAGTTAATTCTAACTATTATTTTGGCGGGAAGAGTTTTTAATTTGGGGATTGGTTTGTCTGTTTATTTACTTGGATGAATTTAGGTCAATTTATTTTACTTGTATATTTTCGGTTTTAAGCAACATAGTATTTATTTATTTTTTATTTCTATTTTTTATTAGTGTATTTATTTATTTGTTTTTGTTTTATTTTTTCCGTTTTTCATTTTTTAGGTGGTTACGTAGTAAAAATTTATTTTCATGCCTGCATTTTGAGATGAGCTCGGATCTTTTATTTAATAATTTATTTTGGTCGGGGAAAGTAATGATAGCTATTTTTTCCTCCAAGCAAAGTTTGCAAGTTTTTGATTGGTTGTTGTAGACTTTTTCCTTATCTTCCAGGATATTTTTGGTGTGATGTGCGTTTTGTTTTTAATTTCCCAGATATACTTAGAAAGCATTGAACTGTTCGTATATTTACTATTTGTGAAAGATGTTTTGTGTGTATAATTTCTTTGCTTCCAGGGTCCTTCAGTTACTCCTATGTATACTTTTTCTTCATTATCTGGTGATTTTATCGTGGCAACAGACAAACCAATCCCAAATTAAAAACTCTTCCCGCCAAAATAATAGTTAGAATGAACTACAACAACCAACCCCAAAACTGAACAAATTGTTGACTTCTATGTTCACATTTATATTTACACATCTCTATCTCTGATATTGAGCACTTTATTCCATAAAATATAGCACACCTTAAGACTATATTTCTTCATATATATATATATATATATATATATATATATATATATATATATATTGTTTGTTTGTGTGTGTGTGTGCTTGTGTATGTGTGTGCGTGTGTGTCATTCCTATGTTAGAGATTGCTCAACGACTTCCAATTTTAAACACACTGAAGCATGAACCTGACAGTCGCCATGTAGTATTGATTCCGCCGTGTAGCATTGATTCCGCCGTCCTTCCTGCTACCTACACTATTTTTCTCTATAAACTCTATATCTCCGATATTGTCCACTCTTTTCCCACTAAAAAAAGTAAATTTTAATATATATTTAAAAAATTTAAATTGCTGTTTACGTTTCGAATAGCAGATATAGAAATTCGAGAGGCGTAACTGAACCTTGCCTTATCGTGGACTGACCGGTAAGTGCGCGCTTTGCTTATAGGACAGGTTTCATTGATAGATAAAGGGAATCACGATTTGATTCCCGCCCAGAGGCACATTTATTGCTTCAGTCTAAATCGGACGACATTAATTTTTTTTAATAAAAAAACAGGATTATCAATGTTTACAGTATATATATATATATATATATATATATATATATATATATACAAAGAATAATCACACATAGAATTATAGTATCAATGCGATTATTGGCGACATCCATCGCTAGAAAACATAATATATGCATTAAAATACTGTTCATCCATAGTGCGAGTTTTGATCCTTGAAGAAAAACTTGTTGTCTGTAGTTTTTCAGTTTATTTGATGTTAAAATGCTAGTACTTACGGACAGTCTTCCATCCATCATCAGGCATGTGTTTTTTTTCCTTATAAAATCAAAAAACTTGAGACGATATACCTGTATTTAACATCAAATAAACTGAAAACTGCAAAAGACAACAAGTTTTTCAAAATTTTCAAGGATTCAAAATTTTCTTACTAAAAATGGATGAACAGGATTTTAAT